TTTGGGACTAGTTCAGGAATATTTCGGTAGTAGAACGTGATTATTTTGAAACTCGCTTAACTTTTAATTTGAGGACCGTTTTGGAACTAGTTCGCGATGATCGGACTAATAAGAGAACATTTCGAGACCGTTTCAAAACGTGTTAAAGATAATTTCGGGACACGTTCACGATTTTTTCAGCACTGGTTAGGACATGTCAATAGAATGATGATGTTCCGATGAAAAAAACTCTCGATACATAACGAGATTCGGGAGGGGAACGAAAGCAAGGGCGCTTGCCAAGTGCCAGTGTTGTTTTGTAAAAATAGTAGTTTTGATCTTGATAGCACGTTAAAGAACAGATTAAAAAATAGTTAAGTCGGTATTAAAGAAATTGGAAAGCCATTCGAAAGGTTTCAAATCGGAAGTACACATATCGTCCCTAGCATTTCAAGCTACCGAATACAAAAATTGGTACTTATCAGAAGAGCGAAAACGCTGTTGTAAAAAATGTTATTGTCATTAGGAAAAAGTGTGGGGATCCCACACTTTGTTAAAACTTCTAAGAAGACTAGAAATTCGACAATTTGCCAACTTATCGATCATTCTAAACGCATGCGCAAGTTATCGAAAATAAAAAAAAGCATTTTTTGCACATTCAATGGCTTGACAGGGTAGCGACGATATGTCTTTTTTGTTTTTTGTTTGTTCTGAAATCATGAAAACTACAGACTTCTCTACCTACACATTTCGAGATGCAATTATAACTAAATGGATGAATAAATATCTTAATATCAGAAATAGATTCCAATGCTTATGAATAATCGATATTTTTTGCTAGCCCAACTATTGGGTAAGAGAATAAATCGATTGGTTGCCAACCCGTTAGCTGGCAATATATAGCATACTATATTTTCAAGGAATGCAAATCATTTCAATTAGATAATTGGAATTTTCTTTTGCCGTTCAATGAGGGCCAATTATAATGTATAAATAAATACTTGGCGGAATTAACGATGTTAACTTGCCCTTTCATTATAATATCAGCCAAGGTATATTGAACAGGGAGTATCAGTAGAGCAGCTGATTTGATCTTTTCAAATTAGTTGGTCTCAAAAATGCCAAATTGTTTTAATTTCTTCTTAAAAAAATGTAAAATTGTTAGATTCTATTTGCAGGTGAAACCCTTTTCCATACAAAACAAGCGATTGAATAGCAGTTTTTGGAACGTTCGTGCAACTCAGCAGCACAAACGCTGATAACTGGATGGATCAATGCATCGAGAAATAAAGAAATTTATTAAAAAAGGATTCCTTTTTTGTGTATTTCACATAGCACGCTTTGTTTTAGAAGAAACAATCAAAACAGGTTTTGACACTTTCGATACCAGAAGCTGTAATCCTAATACCTGTTTGATATGGTATCAGCAAATATTTTCAACTCGATTTATATCGGATCCGTTTTCGTTTATGTGAATAATACAGGTTCTGAATTTAAATCAAATCGAGTACTAAATTCGGTTTTAGAGATACCTCCAGCGCCACCTATAACGCCAATTTTTGAAAAGGGCATGTATGTGTATGTATGCAATAGGGCTGCAAATACGTTTTTTAGAGATATCGCGACTCTGGCGCCCCCTATCGGAATTGTTCCTATGCACAATTGACGCCACTGCAAAGATATCCTATGAATCTGGATTCAATCGGTTCAGCGATTTTCGTGTCTATAAAGTACATATGTACACACACACATACTCACAGACACACACGGTCTTTTTATATATTAGATACCTTTAATGTAAAGTGAAAATGATAGACATTTTACTAAATTACATTAAATACACTTATTATAATTGCTCATAATTTCTGTACGCATGTATTTAAAGTATGAATATATACATACACATTCACATAGACATGCATACGCGTCAGCAACGAGGAGCAGGCAGTAATTGATTGCTTAGTAAATATGTAGAGTTTATGTACATATCTATGTATATGTTTGCACATAAGCTCAATTATTTAAGAAAATACATACACACATATGCACATTTGAAAAAGAAAAACAATGCAATAAAGCATGTTGCACGTGTAGTCTGTAAAGTTCTTTGAACTTTCTTGTAATATTACATGCCACACACACACACACACACATTCACTAACACATTTATGAGGCTAGATGCCGCGGTATGAGTAATGACAAATACAACGACAAGGTAAGAGCAGACTCTAAAAAAAAAAATATGCGCTCAACATAAAAATAGATCAGCCAGCCTACGGAAGAGAAATCTGTGAACCGATGCCCATTAAATTAAGTGCTCTCAAGTCAATACTGAATGAGCGTCCAAGAGTCGCACACATGCGCAAGTATAAGGTGCTCAGTCGCGCCCACTTTTTCCGAAATACGAGCATCGAGCGAACGGTTAAAAAAAAAACTTACAAACTTTTGCTCTCTGCTAGTGCATAGCGCAGACTCTCTGTAAGCTCGACGACTGGTTGATGGCTTAAAATGATCTCCCATGTACCTCGAAATCAACACAGTGACAACAGCAGCTGATCGCAGGTATTGGTAGGAACTACATTCCTGATTGTTGGCCTGCACGCGATCTATCGCAGGTGATCTCTCGCCATACTGCGGAGCGCCAAGCCGTTTGAGTGTAACTGCCTTCCGGGCGACAGCATTACAACTTACAACATGCGCTGTTGTTGCTAGTGCTGCTGCTGCTGCTACTGCCTCAGCTGTTGTTGCAACATGTACCATAGCCGTTGTAACTATTTATTCTCTGGCTGAGTTGCTGAGCGTGACGCGCATGCCGGCTATGCTGAGTTGCTTGCTTGCTCACTGCATATGGTGATGCACTCAGCATCTGATTCTGTCGTCGCATCTCGGCCCAGACCGGCCCCCTTTGTTGTCGCTCCCGCTGCAACTGCTGCTGGTGCTGCTGTTGCTGCGGCTGCGGCTGCGGCTGCGGTCACCACACATATTTACAACAAAGCAAAGCCAACCACCAAATAGAAAAGAAAAAATCAAAACAAAGTGGAAATTTCTGTGGAGTTCATTCAACCTCGCCCCAGTGAACTTAGTTGAGGTTATTTCTACAACACCGTTCCCTGAGTGCTCCTCCATGGCCCACCGACAAGAGTGGATTTCCAGCTTTGTTGGTTGTGGTGGCTGGGAGGTTGTTGCAGCAGCCGACTGTTGCCGCAGCATGCCAGTCAGCCGGTTCGCAAGCCAGCCAGCCAGTCATCCGGCAGCTTTTGCTCGGGCAGAATGGCAACTTGGTTGGACGGCTCGCTGGCTGGTGGTTGGTTAGATGGATGGCTGTTTTGTGGGCTGACTGACTGCGGGCTGCATAATATTCTGCACATATTTACGTACATATCTATGTATGTATGTTTGTATGTGCATTCGCATTTCTCTTCGCGTGTGTATATGTTTGTGGCATGTATTATGCACATATGTACATATGTATGCATGTATGTAGGACCTGGC